GTCATGTGGCTTGGATGTCCTACAGGGCACCAGAAAAAGATGATGCTTGCAGTGAAGAAGCTGTGTGACGTGGAGAAGGCACGAAAGAACCAGGTCGAGGGGCAGGGGGTGCTACAAAGGAGAGCCCCTCCCACTCTGGAGCTTGTGGCGATTGAGCCACCCGACAGCACCGATGGCCCTTCCTCTCCTCTGTCACCCAAGATGCTCACCTTCCAGGACAGCGAGCTGAGTGCTGAACTCCAGAGCGCCATGACCCAGAGTGGCTATGGAGGCTGCCAGGTGGACCTTAGTGCTGCAGTGAGTGAGACAGCTGTGTCTGTCAGCCAAGAAAGCACACGCTCATGGGGCTCTGGCCGGTCTCAGGAGCGCCCCCTGGCATCTGTCACCCCTCATAGCCGCTCGGATGAGAACCTGAGCCCAGGTAGCAGCCCCTGCAAGGATCGCTATGCCATTTCTGAATGCCAGGTACTACCTACAAAAATGCTACCAGCACTGCCTTTACAGCAGCAGCATCATCCTCCACCTGCCAGCCCTACATCAACACGGACGCCACCTATAACTCCAAGTAAGGCGTCCCGCTTTATTTACCCTGCTGTCCAGTCCAAACCCAGGCCTGGAGTTTCCACAGCACTGCCTCAACCCATTGCTCCCCATGGTTCCCCTATCACAAGGGGCTTCAGCTACCTTCAACCCCAGAACATCAGCTCAGACCAGACCCGCACTACCCCCACCCGACCTGCGCAGCCCGGTAGAGAAATCTACCGCCCAAAGAAGCGTTCCCAGAGTCTGTCGCGTTATGCCCTCTCTGACGGTGAGGCTGAGGAAGAAGAGGTGCCAGCACCATCAGCCAACCTGGCATCTTATGCCACGCTCACACGCAAGCCCGGTCGCAGCCACCCACCTGCTGCCGCCAGCGAGCGCCATGTGGGCCGGAGTCATTCCTTTGCCATACGTGCCAGGAGGAAGGGGCCACCTCCTCCCCCACCAAAGCGCATGAGTTCTGCCCCAAGCACGGTAAATAGCAGCGGGGTGGATACAGAGAGTGCCGGAAGTGTACGCAGCATTGCAGCCAGGCTAGAGGGCAGTGGAGGAAGCCCCACTAAAACCCACAGCAGCCCCACTTTCAAACCAGTCTCAAACACCACCCCAACTATGGCTACAGGCAGCAGAAGAAGGACCACCAGTGAGCCCTCTTCAAATGAGCCTGACCAAGAGCTTTGTGGAGTAAAATCTATAGAGCAGGAGAAGAAGCTTCAGGCAAAACAAGAACATGCAGTTTCTGTGTCCCCTCAAGGGACTCTGTGTGAGAGCATTCCATTTGCCGAGGAAGGAAAAGTGACCATAAAGCAGAGACCAAAAATAGCACTGGTTAAGACGGACACTGAAGTCAATTTTGAATCCCAGAAACCCACACAGCCACCCAAATCCTCCTTAGAGTTGCCTGAGTTCAACCTGACAGAGTCGGACACGGTGAAGAGGAGGCATAAACCGAGAGAGAAGGAACTGCTCACTGCCAGTCAGAACACACAGAGTGTCCCAGGGGCTGAGAAAATCTCACCCTGTCTTCAGAATGGAGGACCACCAAGAAATCTCCTCAAACAGAATGTCTGCCCTAAACCAGTTTCTCCTCAGAAGCCTCCCACCCCCTGTAAACCTACCCGTCATTCTGCTGCAGCCCCTTTAGGTAATGCAGTTTCTGCACCAGTGCCCTTAACTGTCTCTCTCTATGAATTTAATGAGCCAGTGACCTATGTATTTTTGAAGTACAGTTATTGTGTGTAGTTTTAAAGGATGTTATATGATTGTTGTCTGTTATTAGTAGATGGATCTCCCCCTGGGATGTCTGTCAGAATAGGGCAGAACCCTGCCTTTACTCTTTCCTCTCCGTCTGGCTCCGTGGCAGTCTGTCCTCCTATCCGTGGACCTCTTGACCAGAGGAGCAGAGTGCAGCCCCAAGCACGAGGACAGGGCCCAGATGATCTGGTTCACAAACGGCTAGAACAGACCAGTACTTCTCTGGAGGCGGCACTGAAGGTTGTGGAGAAAAAGTTAGCTCAAGAAGATCAGACGGACAGGTAACACCCACAAAAACCCATAAAATGGCAACAGTGATCTAGCTCCTCTCTATAACAGCGCTTCTGACAATATATAATCCTTCGTTATTAGTAGCATTCATTTCATTCATAAGAGAAGGGAGGTAAATCAGACTTTATGTGCACTGTTATAGGCTGGTTTAGATGGATAAGATTAGATTGTGGTACAGATGGTGATATTAAAGGAAAGAATGATGTATAAATATCGTGGACCCATGGGAAGAGACAGATGGTATAATAGTGACAAGCTCTTCCTGTTTTAAAACAAACTGCCCTCATGTCTTTTCAATGCAAGCACATGTTCAACAATATCCACTCTCTCCTGCTAGCTGTTTTAGTGTAGAGTTACTCTCATATACCTTTACTCAAACAAAAGTCAAAGTGACCCTTTACAATGACCAGAGACCATTTTTTATTTATTTATTTACAATAAAAGCAGCCATTAAGTACAAGTTATTCGTTTTTAGCATCTGGAAAAAAGCAGAAACAATTATTTCAGAAACTCAATATAATATAGAATTTTTTTTCAGTATTTAGTCTATCCACCTTATGCATTCATAACAGCTTCCATTTTTTTCAGGAGATTTTCTTTCAGTTTTCTTTGTATCTGTTAATAATTTCTGGAAGTCTTCACAAACTCTTGATTTTTCACTTAATTTCCTTTGGCTTTCCCCTGCCTTATGTAAGTGGATTATCTTATATCTGATCTCCTCAGACATATCTCCTGAAAAATGTACTTAATGGCCATTTTAATGGGAAACCAAATAGATTAAAGGTGGTCTCTGAATTTTGCACAATACTGTATCCTCTACAGGCATTCACACAAATGCATATGGGACATATGGACGATTACATTGACCTTGTTCGTGCTCTCTTCTGTCTTGTCGCAGTGGCATTTACACAGTGAAGTCAGCAGGCAACATTCTGGATGACATCGGGAATATGTTTGATGATCTTGCTGACCAGCTGGATGCCATGTTGGACTGACCCCATTCTGCCGCTCCTCTACTCTTCATGAACCATCTTCAGCTATACAGAGAGGATTTTGGGTGCCCTTTAGGAGTGTGGGATCTCTGTGAAAAACTCCTCAGCCTATGTGGCTCTCTCAGATTTACTCTTCACTTATTGCTTCTGAGTGATGGCTTTAGTTCCAGATGGGCACTAAATCACCAAATTCAAGGAGCCATGCAGTTATAGACTGCAGTCTGGCCCCTGGGTGGAATAAAAACCTGTGGGCTTGCTCCTGGAGGGGCATCAGTGGAGAGATGATGCAGTGAGACGTGAAGCTCCCACCAGGGTCTAGCTTATCAGCTCTGTTGGCTCACTAGGACAGAAGTGTGTCCTTTCTGTTCCTGCCAGTGCTTTATAGCATTTACTTTTTTGAACTTACCATGTCAGAGCTCTTTGAGAAGAAACACTTTCATTTCCTGTTGCACATAGACCATGCCCCTCTAGGCATGGGACGTGAAAGCGAAGCTAGCGTCTGACCTCTCCTTCATTCAGACCTTACAGTACACGTCACTTCACTTGTAATACTGTCCATACACATGCTAGTTACGTGTGCATAAAGAAGACCATGTCTGCTTATAAGAGAATACATGTTAAAACCAACCAGCCAGGTAAAATATAATCGATTCAGCCATACTTGCAGATATGTGAAGATTACTAATAGCACACAAACTCTGTGGACCAAGTTTTTCAGACACTTATTGCAAGATTATAAAGGACCATTATTTAAGGGTCCACTATTTGCAAACAGGAGCACTTGTCTATCCAATGAACTATACTTAAATAACATTGAGCAAGTTATCAGAACAAACAGCACATTCTTATGGCCTAAAATTGTACTATAAAAGCACTATAGTTTTCTGATAGTAGAGTTGTTAGTGGTGTTAATAATGAACACTCATAGTTTTATAATGATTATAAGAGAAAATTTTCATTGCATGTGTGTTTCTTTTTGTATCCTTGATTTTTAATGTTAGTACATGGGGAATTTCCAGTTGCAAAGTGCTAGTACTCCTTACTGAACATGCAAAAAAAAATCAGAAACAACAAAATGATTTTAACCAGATTTACCAAAAGGGAAATAATGCGTGCATTACTCTTGAATTTCAACATATTTAAATAAACATGGGCAAAAAAGCACATAGAAAGCCCATGCTAGATATCCAAATGTTGGAATTTACTGGAAATGAAAATCTGCTTGTGCTTTTAGCTTGACTCATTGTTTTGCACTTTTCATGAAGTGTATGCACTATACTTTAGTCTGCGTTTTATTTTATGTTATTGTGGACCCTGCATGTACAGTATACATGTTTTGAAAACATTTGATTGTTTGTTTGTTTGTTTACACAATCCAAATGAAACAGATATATAGACTTGTGGTTGCAAGAGGAATAGAGCTTCCTAAACTTGCATGTTATTTTTTTTATAAATGTATCAACCAATAACTATAGATTTTATATGAAACAGCTTATGATATTCATATTTTTAATTAACTTTATAAAGTCATCCAGTTCAGCATAAGTTCAGTGTATACTACTGTATACTACTCTTTCTAAATACTGTAGTGCTGTTTGCATGGTATTGCTATGTCAGTACTAAGACAGACAGAACTGTATATCAATGTGGGCCCGTTAATAATAAAGTGACTGCTATTTTAAGAGAGAAGTATCTAAAATGCTATTTAATAATAAAGAAACTGTTTTATGTGTTCTGTAATGGCATTTATTTGCAGATGAAAACTTTACATTTCATTTACAGTACAATGGTCTATTGTGCTACTTTCCCAGTATGCAAAATATTCTGTAAAAAGCTTTTTTATGAAAACCATCTCACAAATAATGCAGAGAAAATGAACAGTCCCCAATTTGATCAGAAAGGGGAAACAATTCCACAAACACAAAAAACTGAAGATCAAGAAAAGAGGTAAGGAAAAGAAAGCGAGGGAAAAAATCCTTTAGATCCAGCTGTCATGACATTTAGTGTAGTCACAGAGCTCTTCTGGCTTAAACCACAGGTTGATCTCAGTGTTGGCACAGTCTAAAGAATCACTCCCATGGATGATGTTCCTGAAACAGAGACAGAAGTGTCTTAGCAAAACTGCACAGCAAGAATAATGTGGGTGTCACTTAGCTCAAACCAGCTTGTGACTTCCCCATATTCACACCTTTGTACACAGATTAACTTCACATTGAGCATAAAGCTGATGTGAGTTTTATTGTTTTTAGAGCTCAAACTTTCTAAGCCTTCAAGCACTAGTTTCTAGCTACAGATTGAAAACTAGCCTTAAGGTAAACGACACAATTGGATCTTACCTGACAACTTGGATGCAGAAGTCACCTCGAATTGTCCCAGGCTTAGAATCAGCAGGGTTAGTCTCACCCAGCATTACTCTTCCCATTTTTATTACATTATATCCCTCCCAAACCTGACAGGGTAACACAAAGATATATAATAAAAATAATAATATATATATATATAACATGTTGTTATAATGTTCTCATGTATGTGTATTTGGGCAAAAGAACTGAACTGAAATAGAATTATTACTATTGACACTCGGCTGCTTCATGGCCATCAAATGTGATTTAAACTGTACTTCAAAGTGAATGTGGCTCCTCAGAGACAGTAAGAAGTATAAATAGATTATCTCACTCACCATGGCAACCACAGGGCCAGAGGACATGTAACTGACAAGGCCAGGGAAGAACGGCATGTCCTTCAGGTCACTATAGTGCTGCTTGAGAAGGTCCTCACTGGCCTGCATCGCACACACACATACAGTCACACTGTGAGATGAATAAAAGACAAATAAATTGTCCACAGAACCTTATTGTATATTGTACATATATCCATGAACTGTATTTGCAGCAATCCAACAGAATGTTTTGGAAGTGCTCCACTACCAGTAAATGTGGCAGCAGTCTCACAATATAGCATAATATTTTAGCAAAGGTGACCATACTGCATGGTCACTGTACTCCTAGTTAATCAAATTCTCCCTTCTACTACCATTCTACTCTATTCAATATCAACATTTGGCAACATACAGTGGATCACTGATATCTGATTTAAGGCTCTTGATGTATTAGAAACATCGTCAAAGCACTAATGATAGACTAAACCATTCACAATACTGGTTCCTCCAGTTCTTTTACATCACTTGAGCGCAGCAGCTGTCCCTTACATTGTGTAGACGTTTCATGATAAACGGACCAATAGAAATGCTCCATTATTGTTTGGGATAAAATCTCTTAACATTAACTTATATTAAAAGCATGTTTTTGCCCTTTCCTGGGAAGCTGCCATTTTGGGGGGAAGTTTTTTTTTTTAGACAGCAACTATATGCTACATTGGACCAATGTCCTAGTCTTCAACTAGTGTAGGGTTAGGCTTAAACTGAGATTAGGAAAGAAATCCATTGAGTTCTGAAGATATGGCAGTTATGAAATGTAGGTTAACAAATAGTGCTAATTGTAGTGCAGTGCTAAGTGTAGATGAGCAACGTAACACAGGAAAGGAGGGATCAAGTCTCGGTAGCAGTCACCTTAATAAGTACAACAGCTAAGAATAGGCTTAGAATTAAGGTAACAACCTCTCTGTACACTGCAGAAGGTCAAACACTTCCTTCACTTTTGCAGATTTGCATAAACTATTTATCCAATGCCATTGCTAACTAACCATTAACAAAAAAAAAAGAAAAGAGCACAGTGCAGTCCTAGTATTCAGAAATGTTGGGACATTATTTGTGCTGAAAATGTGCAAAACATGAACAAAGGCCTGTAACAAGCTAGGTCAAGGTTATAACATGAAATAAAATCAATACATAAATAATAAATCTAACTCATTTAACTTACATGGAGTAACTTCATGCCCACCAGCTTGAATCCTTTCTGTTCAAAACGCTTGATGATTTCTCCAACAAGTCCTCTCTGCACTCCATCAGGTTTGACAGCAATGAAGGTGCGCTCCTGCTTGCCAGCCATTGGACTAAAACACAGTGAGGTCACACTCATTCCAAATGCATTGACAGAGTGACTGGCAGATGTGGGCAAAGAAGCCTAAAACCATCCTCAATTAAAGGGAAACTGCAATAAAATTATGATTCAAGTAGCCACGAAAAAACAATTTAGTGAGTAAAACCTTTTAGTTCTTCCAGCATCTGCCTGCACAGGAACTGAAGTTGGTTAGGTACTATTCTTCTCTAGTTTAGATGCTTCTGGTCTAAAATAAAATGCAAAAGCTTGAAACAAAACCATAGCAGTCTAAAGAAGAGAATGAAATGAGGTCCAAGGAAATGATATCATTTGAAAACACTCAGCAGAGTAGAAATCAACTATGAAACCGAGTATGGCTCTAGTTCTGGTTGTTGCTGAGATCAAGACTTACAGAGCAGTAGAGGTGGTGCATTGCTGTGGAGTTTGGCTGGGCTGACTGGGTGCCGGAGCCCCTGAGCCCATATCCCATTAGCCCTCATGCGCCAAGATGCATGGATGCTCAGCTCCCCTTTGCCCTGTCACTGGCATTGTTATTTTCCCCACCCATGTTCTGACAAGCTCCTCCCTCCTACATTAGGATTGGCTTGTAAGGTTTGCCTGCACTGATGGGTGGTGACAAGTTGCATTTTCTTTTCAAATTATAATTCTTAGACTCATATTTGTGATCAGTTCCACACTGCCATTCACATTAAGTTTCTCAATCTGTTTTTGGGTTTAATTTTACTTCTTTCAGCTGGGTCAGTACTCAGGCTGCTTTGCTGTTGTTCACACCTTTTACCTTTAAGCCTTTCAGACCAAACTGATCCCCAAAAGAGAAGAACTGAGGCCATCAAACTTTCTATGTTCATAGATGCTGGATGTACTGAGAAGTTCCTCTGCAGTTCTGTATGGAACTCAGACATGAAATACTGTTTTTTGACCTTGACACTTTCATCAGGTTGTTTTTTGGTTATTATTTACTTCTACTTTAACATTTTTTCTTTAATGTAATTGTACGGTTTCAGGTCAGCTCATGCATTATGAACTTCTAGCCAATCCTAGCCTAGGAGGGCGGGGCTTGTCGGAATACAGGTGGGGGTTATTACACTTGTCCCGTAGACTTCAACAGGAGCTGCCCTTGGCACACTGCATAACTCCTGAGCGGATCTTTGGCACCTGACAGGTCTAATTGCCATGACTCCCAGTGTGATGTGGCCTCATTTAATCACACTCACTCTCTCACTTTGTGTCTATTTATATCACACTTCCGGAGCCGGACTCTTCACCGAGTTTTTAGGTGTCGTTATAAGACTCTTAGTCCCAGATAATCAACCCTCATACGACACGGCGCAGGCTAGCGGATAAAAAATACACTGAAGCGAGCGTGTAATCCTACAGTGAACTAAACTGAACACGCACGGAAAAAACAAAGATGTCACACAGTCCAAAGTGGGCATCACATGGCGTTTGTAACACAAGGCGAATGAAGCGCTGTAAATTCACTCAACAGAATTTGTTTCTTACCTTAAACGACGACCGTTGGTTGACCAGAATTCAAGTGGTCAGTTAAATCCCCGAGCAGCTACAGGAGGCAGCAGGCTTACAGTGGGCGGGACGAGCTGCAGTCACATCATTTAGTGTCTGATTGTCGGCTTGAAGGGAACGTTTGTGAGCAACGGACCATTTGGCTCAAAATATTCTGTTAAAATGAAATAAGATTGATTAAATACATACATACATACATACATACATAAATAAGCAAAAAAAAAAAGCAGTGTTTGTGCCCGCAGACACATTTAGCAACAATAGTAACATTACTTGTTTTACTTTCCCCTCCACATTTATGATGTCGCATTGTATAAAAGTAAAATGGTCATGGATACATTTTTTTTTCTTCTTCTTCCTCTTTTTTTCCCTTACTGCTTCTTAAAGGACTTAACTGAAAGCTGGGGAAGGTTCAGGGGTCAAGGGTCAAAGGTCTAATAAGGCAGTATACAGTGTACACAGACAGTATTCGTCAAGACAAAAACTAAGCTCAGTTTACCTCAGAACCATTTTGATGGAATGACATAATGAGGTGAGCTGTGTCAGTAAACTTGTACTTGTGTCTTCTGACTGATTTGTCTCTCTGCTGGTAAAGGTAGGCTCTGAGTTTAAACTCTTTAGCTTAGCCTCTGTTAGTCACACGGCTGTCTTGTTGAACCTTGGGCTTGATTGTAATTAGTTTCAGGTGTGGTTTCAGGTTAGTGTAAATGTAAATGTAAACATTTCTAGCTGCTTAAAGCTAGTAGTACCCAAATTAAAGAGCTGAAAGGAAGGTGATAGCTGTGGTTTGATGAGTAAAATGCTTTTTCTTTAATACAGTTATTTAATTGAATGAATTAGGTGCTGTGTAGGCTGTGGCCTACAGCACAGGTTATAGTGCAGCACTGTCAGAAATGAAGGTTCTGTGCAGGTACGTTTTTCGTTCATCAAGGGACTAACAATGTGAATGTTCCCTCAGGGGTCCAATTGTGTACCTTAAATAAGCTTTTCCCAGTGGAAAAGTACGTATTTGTACCTTTTCATAACCTAATGTTATAAAACAGAACAATGAAATAAAAAGCCTGGAGATGAGACGGGGTGCGTGGAGTTAATACAACTTAGAAAATATAACTTTAATGGCTATGTTCCCTGACTAAAGGTACTGAGATGTACCCTTAAGGGGACCACCCCAGTGACAGTTTCATACCTTTATTTTTGAGAGTGTATGGTAAATTTTGTGTGTGAATGACTTCATGCTTCCCTTTTACCATAAAATGTCAAGACATGGTTGAGTGGCTTCTCTGGGATCTTTCCATATTTATTTCCATTTCTACAGTGAAACTGTACCTTCAAACTCAATATGATTACCATATCTAAAACTTCTAAGGCTGGCTTTACCAAGCCTCCTAAAAGATTGGGTCCAGACATGCCTTTCCAATTTATTTTTGTACTTTTGTCCACCCTTTTGACATCTTTCATTTCTGCAATGCAAAGCAAAACAGCACAGGTCCCTGCACAGTGGAGTCATCGCCGCAAGAGCCCCATTAAGATCATCAAACTGAATCCAATTTGATCTGTTAAGCGGACCCACAGCATCATGTCGAATTGAAACTAATCTTGCATTAAACATAGTCAGATAAGTACTTTGATTTTACCGTGCATTGCCGGCATTTAGAGAACAGCGTCATGAAATGTCCAGGGATTACTTAATGGTTATAAAGCAAGGTTTGGTCATCTGCTTAGAGATACAGTCAATAGTTCTCATTAAAGGTGCTTTGCTTTTATTCAGCATATCATTTTCAGTTCATGCTTCACTGTGATTTCTACTTGACAGTGCATAACGTTTTTGATTTATTATGCATTTATTCCGAGCTTCATGCTGTTTGGCAGGCCTAAATTGATTGTCTATTTCTACATTCCACAGCAAGTTTTTGCTTTTAGTTAACATTCTGTTACATTTTTTAATAAATATAGTGATCATTTGTAATATTTAGAGAGATTTGATGGGTTTGAAGTTTGAAGTGCAGTAGATTTGTGGTGAATATGTTTCTGCTGCTTTCCATTCCTTGATGGACAGCTGAGGTCTTTGTGGTTTGTACCTAAAATACCCAGTGCAGTGAAAGGGCCCATATCCTTTATTTTTCTTTTCTGCTTTTTCCCATAAGGTTCACATTTTACATTTGTGTGGTTTCATGCACCTAAAACAGCTGTAATTTAATTTAATTACTGTTTTACATTCTCTTTTTAAATCTTAGAATTATACAAGCCACTTTTTGTTACTGTACCTTATTTAAATGAGCTCTGTTCTGATTGGCTGCCCTGTATTGTGGCTCATTAAAAAAGCAGTTCAGGCTGAAACATGCCGTATAATGTTAACTTGGCTGAACAGGTGATATATAGGTTTTGTGACATCTCAAAAATAATTAATTCAAAATGGGCCATTTTTGCAGCTTCCTATTCATATATGGACTGTATGGGCTCAGGTATGGACTGACTAACTGTTTTATTTGAACTAAGCAAAGAAATTCTGGCTTTGGGTTGAGCTTTAAAGTTTGCCCTGGGATAAAAGCTTGTGTGCTTGTGATTTACTGTAATAATTAGGTAGGTTGCAGCTTGAGTCTCATTACCTTAGTCAGCACATGACACTGCCAATGCTGGAAAACTTAAATTACCTACACACACAAACACACACACATCCCACCCTCATGTCCTCTGGCCCTCCCTGCACCATAACACCCAAGACCAAAGAGAAACTGATGCTAGAGCTAAACATGGCCAAATGTGCTCAAACAATTCCGAGTCTTCCTTCCCTCTGGCACATGCTCTCAGCTAACTAAACGGGTGGATAATCCTTTCCCAATCTCCCTAACTCTACTGTAGATGTTCAGTATTCCTAGCTCTATTTTTACCAGGGCTTAAAGTGAGGATTAGTTGTGGTAGCTGCCGAGTTGTGCTCTGTAAACTGTTCTAATGTTAGGTAATATGTGATAGCAGGTGATTGTAAGTGTAATTCTACCCACAATCATTTCTTTCAAATAAGAAAAATTAAATATTTAGTTCAAGCTGTTAATGTCAAGGTTCCTGCAAGCTTTGCCTGTGGATTTCTAACTCTAATTCTAATTCTGAATTATGATAATATTTAGTATTATCATAGGGTCGCCTATAGCAGGGTAGTTGATTTGATTCATGGTTGCTTTTTTACATTTGTAATGAGAAACATGAATATGATTCATAATAAAAAAAAAAAAACATTATGAAATGCTTAATGGTTGATTTTAATGGTTGAACAAGACAGTTCCTTGATATTTTGTGTGAAGCATGATCATTGTCCACTGGTGTGACTGTGTTTGGAAATAATCCTAATATTTAAACTACTGTGATTTTAAGAAAGAATAACAGCTTGAAAATACCTTTTTTGTAGCCAGCTACTTTTTGTAGCTAGCTTTCTAGTCTTGTTTTAAGAATTTCCACACGCTCTTTTTTGGTCATATTACATGCACATGTTGATCGACCCACAGATTTTTAATGATGGTCAAGTCAGGGGACTGTGAGGGCCATTCCGAAAGCTTCAGCCTGTGTTTCTGGAAGTAGTTTATGATGGACTTTGAGGTATGTTTTAATTGTCCTGTTGTAGAATCCAGCGTCTTTTCAGCTTCAGTTTCGTGATTGATTGTTTCCCATTTGCTTCCAGAATTTAGTGGAATCCATTCTTCCCTCTATTCATACAGTGTTTGAATTATTGATTGTGGCCAAAGAATTCATTTTTACTTCATCAGTCCACAGCACTTGCTTCCAGAATGTCTCAGGCTTATCTAGATGTTGTTTTGCATACTTCAGATGTTAACTCTTGTGATTAGGTCACAGGTAAGGTTTCCTTCTGATGACTCCTCCATTGTGTTTGAGCAGGCACTTACTGCAGGTCCTTTACTGTCATATGGGGGTTTTGCTTTGCCTTTCCGACCAGCATATGAACAATTCAATGTGAGAGTTTTCTTAGTTTATCTTACCTTAGTAGATCTTACCTTGACTTCCAGGTCTCCTTTACTGCCATTACTTAATTATGTTTCAGACAGTGAAAATTACAAGCTGGAAGTGCTTTGACATCTTATTGACATCCTTCTTCTGCTTTGTAGGCATCAATTAGCTTAATTTACAGAATGTGAGTCAGTTGCTCAATTCCCAATGACAACTCTGAGCAGCAAAACCAGTCATAATGCGTCATTTATAGACTAACAAGTAAATTAAGCTCAGACACTTTACACCTAGGAAGGCTTATAAACCTTTGAACATGCCACAATGACTATTTTATTGTTTTATTTTTCATTATTCAGTTCTTTTATATTTACGGTGCATTAACAAAAAAAAAATCTAAACTAAATCTTTTCACCTCAGAAATCAACATAACATGTAATTTGTCCAGGGGTGCCCAAACTTGCTATAACTTGCTAGTATGATGTGGTATGTTTTAGATTCAGGTAGGCAGTTTGAGAATTGGGCAGAAATTTTATTAATTAAAATTCTTGTTTAAGTAACATTATGGTTATACTGCTACCTATTGTGACTGTAGTATAAATTGCAACACAATAAAAATGCAAAAAAAAAAAAGTATTTCTGGCTAATTTTGTTGAAGTCCTTCTGTGCCACATAATGTCTTACAGTGTGACATACAGAAAAGTAAGAAATAAAAGGTGTTTTGATACAAGACATTCCAGAGAAACGTGTTGCGTAGAAATACATAAAAAACAAACATATTCCTTAAATTTGAGACTACGCCAGAACTTTTTAACATTTTTTTTATTTAAATGTACAATTAAAAGTGAGTTCACTCTCAAATGTGAAGACATATTACATACAGTATTTGCTGATTATGCATTTAATATTATACTTTCAGTTTTCCTACTTTACAGTGAGTTTTTAGTACTTCAACTCTAGTATTTTTAATGCTGGTCTCTAATATTACATCAAGTTCTTTCGGCTTTTACTAAAATGATTAGTTGAACTGAATGTGTTTGTAAAAGTGCATAATATGGATAATTTCTGCCTAACTTTGTTAATATCAATGTCCCACACAGTTCTTCAGG